GGTGGCGAGCGGCAGTCATTCTGAATTTCCTAAGTGACTTAGCGTACGAATTAATTATAAGATCCCTCTTTTCTCGCTGTAATGAATGAAATGTTTTTATTTGGACAGATGCACGACATATCAGAGACCCATAATATGGCAGACATCCGACAGAATTAACTCTACTTAATGACTGACACAGTCAGTCCAAATCCGATCGATGTGCTCTTCAACCTGCTTATCTTTTTTTAGATAATCTCAAGGATTGTTTACTCCGTCACGATTCATTTTTGAAACTATTTCTGAAACAAGTACGATATATTCTCAATCTCAACACAACACCTATGGTTAGCAAATGTTACATCAAAATTTAAGTATTGAGTTGTAGATGATTTTCATGTAGAATGTTTTTTTTGCATTGCGTGTCGTTTCCCCAATAGCGCCGTGTAAGGTTAGGACTGAAAGCTTCTTAGGCCGGTATTTTAAGGGGATTTGAACAAGTTTCAGCAAGGAGCCGCCACAGATTATATTATTTAACTCAATCTACACCGGCGAGCAACAATGCTTCCCGACTACTCACAGAAATCAAGCAACTTACAAATAATAAAGAGAGATTTATATACTTGCAGTGTCACACAAATCGCTACTTGTGACCAAGGATATCATCAGTCTGTAAGCTGTCCAAAACGTTTCAATGTCCTGGTCGGTACTATCGGAAGCCGCAAAAAACCGAGCAAGGAGCAATGTTAAGCACCATCTCTACCAGTGAATAGGTTTATACCAGTCCGCTAAATGACTTGTTGTGCTCCGTGTATTCTTGGGAGGGAGGGGTGGGGAAGAAGAGGCTGCCATGATCAACCGTACGAACACTCCTTCAAAACCTTACGTTCAGACCAAAACTTGGTTCCATTTCGATATCCTTTTCAGAGACCTGACTTTTTGGAGGTAGATAATATCCGGGTTACAATAACTTCAATATAGCATTATTTCAGCGGAAAAATGAAAAGATTTTTGCCAGTTTCTGATGCGGCGTAAACAGACCTCAACAGTATTGTAAAGAACAAATTTCACTGAAAACATGTTTGCAGCATCATTCCGCATGATATAGTACTGACAATTCACTGATCGAACTTCGTTGCGCCGCTACAGTTCCAGTTATAAATAAACCAATGTGTCATCAACCTTATTGCGTTTCAGGTAAGTAACGTCCTGTCAAGAAAGGCTAAAAATATTATTCAGCGATAACCTCTCTGGCAGACTTTTAACATTTTAATAATTAAGCTGTGGCGCGCTGCTGAGAATTGAAAAAGACAACGAGCTTTCAGTTCTTCAATGTGACGAGAAACGAGACGTTGATTAATAAGTGTGGGTGGTTTGTGATACATGCTGTACTGACTGCTAATTAGTGGGTTGGATTTGCCACCGCAACTCAACCTTTTGTTTTCTTAGTTCGTTAAGTGCTTTGTCATGCGTAAAGCAGACATGAAAAGAAACTACTTCAACAACTAATTGCTTCTACATTCGCATGCGTACCTAAAATTCGAGGCTGTCAAACGTTTATTTTTTCAACAAATTTCGACGGAGCGATCATTTAAAAGGTTGACGCACCCTGCTACTAACAAAATGACAAACACATTGTTTTATAAGAAACTCTGAGTTATTTAATGTAAACTAGAACGTGAATTACCTAAATTAAAACTTTCAACAAAAATAGTCAGTTTAAGCGTCTTTTTATGATACATCGATACCAAAAGGATCTTTCCTTTTCTGCATTAAACAGCACTGTTTACAATTCAGAGAAACCTCGACGCCAGCGTATTGCTGAATGATGTAGCGTTAATAGCCTTGAGGTGAGCGCACTCGTAGGACCACTAATTAGCACCATAATTAGACTATTGAAAGGATTGCTAACGTCCATTGCGTACCTGCAAAACCTATTTTCTCCCTTACGAGTTCTTTAGTCAGCTGTCCACAAGGAAATACATTGGTTTTCTGAACAGCGCAGCTGTTTGAATTTCGATTTCTAGTAAAATTATGGTAAAAAAAAATGTTTCTATAAAAGCTTCGCTTTTCTTAAATAACGTCGCGTAGCGTTCACGGATAACTTCTAAAAGAAACTAATCCATTAGCCTATGCAAATTTTACTTGTTTTGTAAGTCATGAATGTTTAAAGTAATATTCCAGCGTGGTTTATTTCTTGAGTCAATACCTGCATTTTATACACTTTGATAACTCCGGAAGGATTAGACTTTCCGTGTCGTTTCGTTTGGCAGTTTGGTCTGTTTTGTGGTGAATGTTTGGCATACTCGGCACTTCATAGCCGAATAAGCTGATATTGTGCATTCAAAAGACCTTTATTACCGCGCGCTTGTTCAAGCGAGTGGGCTGGCAGGTATTAAATATTTCTGATTAAAACAAATACCCAGTCAGCTTATTCAAACAGTGGCCGTTACGGTTTTCTTCCTTTCTTCGCTCTTTGCTTGTGAGACGCCGAAAATCCGATGGCAAAAATTTCTCCATGATTCTATTGTCTTACCAGACCAGATCCAAAATCCCGAGGTGATGCCGACAACCAGCGCCATGAAATATTTGATAATAAACACTGAATGGTCCGGCCGTACCTGATTTTTCTCGCAATCCGCACACACCACGGATCTCTCCCAGGTTTCCCTGTTTACAAATTCATAAAAGTAACAAGCCACAACAATAGTGGCTGGCACAGTATATAAAACAGAGAATACTCCAATGCGAATCATTAGCTTTTCAAGTTTATCGGTTTTAATCAGTTTATCAGTCTGCATACGCAAAACCTTCCGAATGCGAACCAATGAATAGAAGCCGGCTATTAAGAAGGACGTCCCGAACACCAGGTACACGAGCAGGGGCACAACAACAAACACGATCAAGCTCTGAAGGTTGTGATTTCCGACATAACAGATTCCACTGACGGGGTCGCCATCCACTGTAGACATGGCTAGAACAGCTATGGTTTGTATGGCAGGAACAAGCCATGCTGCTACATGAAAGTATTGTGAATAGTTGGTAATGGCTTCTGTTGACCACTTCATCCCAGCAGACAGAAACCAGGTGAAGGACAAGATGACCCACCACAGTGAAGATGCCATGCCAAAGAAGTAAATCAGAAGAAAAACAATGGTGCAGGCGGCTGGCCCTGATGTTTCATACCTCATCAAGCCTTGCGAATCGCAAGCCACGGTCTTATATCCGGCAATGAACCGAATGATGTAACCTATGGCCACGAAACAGTAGCAGACCGAAAGAAAGATGATCGGTCGTTCGGGATATCTGAACCGTTGCATGTCGATTAGAAACGTCAGCGAGGTTACAAGGGTAGAGATAAAACACAGTACAGCCCACAATCCGATCCAAAACGATGCAAAGTTTTCTTGATCTTGAGAGAAATACGTTCTATTGCAAGCCATAACACAGGACGGGACACCCCCCGTAGAAATGTCCCGCAAACTCGGTTTAACGTTTTCATCGGTGATCGTCACAAACGGCGGTCTGCATGAGCAGCAGTTAACGGGCCGATTCCCCTCAAGGCTTATTTTCGTTGTAACAATAAATTCGGTTGGTCGAGCTGTTGTTGTCGTATGATTAGATTCAGTTGCGTTACGGCCCATACATAGCTTGTCGCTCCCAAATTCAGGGAAGTTTTCGCATTTCATTCGCTCGGGCCACGAAAAGCCGTACTTACGCATAAGAGGCGCGCAGCCTTTTCTTGCCCGTTCACAAATCGACCGGCATGCGGGCACTTCGTCTTTAAAGTTCGGCTGGCACATGGGAGCATACATGGAGCAGAGAAAGAACTTTAGGTCTGGCGAACACTTGATCTCGACTAGCGGCCAGAATTGATGAACTTCAAGCGCCGCTTCTTCTTGTGTGTCGTGGTTGAACATGTTTGGCATATAAGTTAGGTTGTAGCCAATACTTTGGCACATGGGTATCTTGATCTTTTCGCATTTCTTTTCTTTGCTAGAAGCGTAGTAGAACGAACTCAAAAACAGCAAGACTGTAAACACGATGTTGTGTGTTACAGCCATTGTGCTGGCTATTTTGAGAGTGATTTCATTCTGGTTTTAGCGAGGTGTTTTGTCAGTGTTTAGTCGATTGCATGTCACCCTTGTCATTAGATTAGCAATATTGACAGATTCATACAGCGACCAATCAGCGAGCGAGGCTCTCTCATTAGTGAATTGTGGCATGTAATTCGCACATCAGTGAATGGAACTTTTAAGCCAAAGCCATTAGCAAAAGAAACGCAGTTCCTTGAAAATTAGCGCTTCATCAGGTCCATTCTCTCCTGTTCATCTCGCTTTGTTGTGAAATTTTGCACAAAAGATCTTTCTTGTGTTTGGCGTTGTATTGAGGCACCCTTTGATCTAATGTAAGCCGCTTTTCGTTGGCTTTGGTCGGTGTCCTGTACGATGTTTGCCCTCAAAACAGAATGCAAATATTACAAGACTTAGGCTTAGCAAATATTTGCTCACGGATTATTGGCTAGATGTTTCGAGATCTGCATATCTTTTCTCACACGTACTATATATCACGCCTCTTATGCCATTAACACACCGCGATAGCAAAGCGTTGACAGGCGAACAAAAGAGTTGAGGTACAGGCAGTGATAAGGACTTTCTCTGCACATCAAACACAATATCATTCCAAATTAAATAATTGCAAGTCTTGGATTTTTTTTGAAGCTGAGCACAAACAACGTTTTGCTCGACGGAAATCAAAGAAACTGATAAAAAGAAGTTCTTATTCAAATTTGGGGTGAAAGAACTTGGTTTTGTATGTGCAATTTTCACCACAAAACTAAACCTTGATTGTTATCAAGGGAACTGTCATACTGGGAGGGAACCGAAAACACGTGATAAGTAATGTTTTATAAAGTGACAACGCTTGTGACGCTAATGAAAAGTGTAGGCCATTTGCAAACACTTAACGGGCCTCCGAGACGCCTTTCGATATAGTCTTGCGTAAAATGTTCTAATACAAGGATGAAAAGGGAGCCTCGTTAATAACGACTTCGCGCAAACGAAAGTATCAAGCCCTGAAAGTCTCGGAAACAAAATGTTCCTGACACTCCAAGATATATCGAGTAAAGTTCACTGTTCAGCGCTGAAAATTCCCATCTTATTTCTGAATTCTAACCCGAGTAGAATGAATTGTTATTAGAGTAGTCATATTCCTCATGAAGTGCAAGTTGGATTTTAACTGCGCGCCAGAGTTCGGTAACTTTTCAGCTAGTTTGCCAGGTCGAGTCATCAATATGATCTTTTAGCATCAAAATCATTCAACACGATTGGAAATGTAAACACTCGAATAAAGTCAATGAAACGGTAAATATTAAGTTCTACATCAGTGGCTTTCAACAATACAGCAACGCAGAGTAAGTCGGATGCGGTCAGTTTGTGGCGGCAGACATTCGAGACATTTGGCAAGGTTGCTGCGTACCTTAGAGTTGGTTACTACGTTATATAAATCTAAATTGGTTGTCAGGAGAAGCGGTTCACTTCAATGGTAAATTTAACCTTTGCTTGTTTACGATTTTCATCTTTACAAGATTATTACGCCATTCACAGTGACAGCGAGACAGGGCGCCCATAATTATAGTTAGTAAAACCTTTGTATTCCAAATTTCCCTCTGTTGTTCCAAAAAAGCGAAAGCGTACATCACAATGTAGTCTCGGAAAAGCTTTCTCCGCCCCCTGGACTTGAGAAACAAAGGAAAGAGAGCATGACGATAAGGAAAGAAGGACTCGTTTTTAATGGACTTGAAGACAAAGAGAACAATGAAATCTTGTTATGAAAATGCTCCACGTATGCCCTTAATTGCTGCTGGCTGAAAAATTTCAACACCAGTTTTTTTTCCCAGCGCAATATATATGGAAATGATTTTTACTGGCACAATATCATAAAATGCATCACCGGGTCTTATAAAGAGATATTATCATACAGGGAGGAAATTTGTTGAATGCAGAGAAGAGCAAAATATTTGTCGGGTATCTCTACAATGAACAAGTGCGCCTAACAAGCGAAGGAAGACATCTACGCGCAGCTAATCCTATCAGAGTATATTACGTACTCAGTCCGTCGATAAGCAAAGAAAAAAGATAGCAAGAGTATTCTACAAACCTCGAGTCTGTTACAAACCTCGACCCCATTAATCAATCGTAAGGTAATGGCCTTCTGAAATACACTTAAATTCAACTCAACATCTCGTAATTTACATTACAAATTCAATCTTGTTGCATTAGTATTTGTAAGTGCAACATTATTAGAATATTTTATGAGGGCTTGACTGTCCAAAGCGATTACTGCTCAGATTAATCTTGCCTGATAGGACTACCGTTTCAAATCGCCTTCTTTGCCAAAGCAACCTGGTGGAATATACATAACATCACGTATGAGTAAATTAATAAGTTAATAAATTCCGAAAAATAGAAATGATATCCGCAATTCTCTTCCCCAGAGTAGACTACGAGTAGTTCTTCTTTCGCTTAGTCCGTCGTGCGTGACGCGAAAGAAAACTGCGAGAAAAAAATGGCCGCGCGAAATCCGCGCTCCTAGCCCCCAGGATTTCGCGCGGCCATTTTTTTCTCGCGAATTTCTTTCGCGTCACGCACGACGGACTAAGCGAAAGAGGGACTACTCGTAGTCTATCCCCAGAGCTCCTCCTTTAAGAAACATGAAACAAAGCGCCCGCATTCGGAAGTTTTACTGACGAGAAGCGGAAATTCTCTGGAAAAAAAAGAAAAAGAAAAAAAAGACACTAGACCACAATCCGCTAGTAGAGATTAGGCTAGTGGCCTAACTTGTAAGTTATAATGCTTTCCTATCCAGTGGATAGCGTAGCATGTTTTCCAACACTTGTCCACTGGATATTACAGGCTCTAACGCCGGAAGTGAAAGCAAGTTAAGCAACTGTGCGTCAGGAAGAGGCATTTGTTACTTCTTTTCTTCAAACGACGATTCATCGGGATCAATCCAAGAAACACACCAGTTTAAGAACTAAATGATCCACTCGACTAAAATGCCAAAAATCATCCGATGATTTTGCGTTTTGCACAGGGAGGCTAAGAAATGTACCAAGATTTATAACGCACGTTCAGAGCTATTTGTTGAAATGAAATCTTTCGTTTGGCAACGCTCAGTCATATTACAAAAATAACGGCCCAAACATACTGCCTTTACACGTACAGCTAAGTTTTATTTTTTTGTCTGTCTGAACAATACTCTGCCAAAATGTTACAGTCTTAGTAGTCCAAGTCACACGCGGACGCTGTTTGGGCTTGTCACGCAATCTTCCTCCTTCCCTGGGGGAAACAGTTGTATATTGCGAAATTGGAACTTCTAGTTGCTTCTACTTTACTCATTTGCTAACATTAAACCAGGGACTGAAACAATTAATCCAAATTTATTGTAAAATCACTGTTTATTATCAAAGGCTCAGATAAATAAATACGGTTTGAGGACAAAGATACTTAAGGGTCCACATTAACAATAGCACCGTCAACACAAACTGCCGCTAGGAACTAGAACTGCGTCGAGAAAATACAAGGCATGCAAACTTAAGAAACCCAGGGAATTTTGCCGCATGATAGTGAAGTCGGCTTTACACGAGGCTGCTGCACATACGTCCGTTGCTACGTTACACTCTTCCCCTTCAAGTTTCTTCGTCCTCATTCAATACGAATTTCTCTAAGAAAGAAGAGTACCACAGATCCTGAGATGAACTGTAGACTGTATTAGTGTTACTCTCGCGGCATATGAGGAGAGTTTGGTCGAGTCATGGCGAGACCAAACAAGCCTGTCATGCTGCCTAGCGAAGCACACCAAAAAAATCGATAAGTTATTTACCGCCCTCAAATCCAGCGATATCACCTATAGAAATTAGGGCAGGAGAGAAGACTTCTGTTTGGCTAATAGCCCTTTCGACGGTTAAATTTTTGTTGTTTGCATTACAATATATTCCAACATGCACGTGAGGCGAGATTTTTGAGTTTCCGTTCACGTTGAATTACATTGTAGTGCAATAGGCCACGTTCGATATATCAATATTCTAACATGGCTTCGAGGCTTTCGTGACAAACGCCTATTGTCTTGGGGAATTGAGGCACAAAAGAAACTAACCGTGAAAAGGGCTATTGAGAAGCGATCCGGCGGGGAGGAGCCTGGTACGTAAGCGCCAAATCTCGCGCCATGGCCGATCGCGTGCTCGCCAAAGGTGAGCCTACTCGCAAGCTAAACAAGTGTTGAATAGCACATCTAAAAACAATGTTGAAGTACTTAGCACTCAGAGTAAAATGGAATCAAACATGGAAAAGGCTGTGGGGAAAAGATTGGAATAAATATGACGATTAAAACTGAAACGTGATTCAACCCTAAATCAAGGTTGCACAAGACCCTTGCTCTTATTACGGATGCAAGTATCTGTCTTGGCGAATTAGTAATTACACGTCATTGTTCTCAGCCCGTGCACTGGAAGTAGGCAAATTTATGATAATCAAAGCTTCAGATTTGATTCACAACTTTGAATGGAACACGTTGGTATCATACAAAGGGACTCGGATGACCTTAAGAGTGGAAGTAATTAGTCCCAAGGAGCGACACCATAGTGGTAGACTCGGCGAACTGTAGTGTCACGAGGGCAATGTCACAATTTCAAAACAACCTTTTCACAAGAAGATTTAACATTTCAATTCACGCTTCAAGCTACTGAAGTTTAAACCGTCGACAATACAATTTTCTTCGCACCCTTCAAGCAGCGCTTCACTTGAGGTGGAGAGTGGTAGTGCGAGATTAACGGGTCGTACAAAGGAACGTAACAAAATGATCCCGGCCAGGGCTCCAACCTAGGCTGCTTGATTCCGGCTAGTCTAGACTACGAGTAGTCCCTCTTTCGCTTAGTCCGTCGTGCGTGACGCGAAAGAAATTCGCGAGAAAAAAATGGCCGAAAGGTTCGACACAAAACCGCTGGTTTACTGCTATCAAAGGACATGCGAGTCGATGTGCGACAACAAAGTGCGGTGATCTAGTTATGACATTTCACTACATTCCTGTGCACGGGCCGCTGTACATAACATTCTCAGCAATACCTGGTATATTGTCGGCTTCAGTCGCCATGGTTCGTGCAAGGGGTCCTGCGCGCACGACCTTAACCCGTCAATCATGAACTTTATAATAGAAATTTTTGGAAATTCTGTAAACCGAAGATCATTGTTATGCTTAAAATTCCAACGTGGCAGATTGCTGTTACGTTTTGTTAACATTATCATACATCCACATCAAACTGATCTAAACAGAAAAATGAACCGGCTTCGGATTTATAAATTATACAGAATGAGATTACAAAAAGTCTAGAACTTTCCTCTGCCGACCGGAATCATTCACTAAAATGCTCGCAATTTCCCTAAAATAAAACTTGTTTTTTAAATCCTAATTGTTTCATAATATGAAAAAAACTACGGATTTTTACAAAATGCAAAACATGCACCGATGCGATTACAGTATGCTTATGTCTCCAAAACATTTGAAACGGCAGAATGTGGGACATGGTTGTACCTCTAATGACATCAAGAAAACTGCTAACCAACAGCTACTGTCATACTACGGCGGACAACTATGCCAACAATGCCAATGACGTTTTTCAAAAACCTCGAATTTTACACTGATAATGACAAACAGCATAGATACCACAGAAATCAGAAAAAAAAAAATTGGTCGCTATCAGTTATTCCAACCTACGATATATTTCCGAAGAAAGTGTCTTATTTCAAGGAACTAACTGCTCTAAATGTCAACATGAATATACATTAGTTCTGGTTTAGCTGTCTACTTGTTGAGGCTGGTAGACCTAATATGTAACGTTTCTTAGAAATCAAAAGATGGACTTGCCCTAGTTGTGAGTGAGGTGTTTGTTTGAGAGAAGATTGGTACTTTTAATGCAGGCCTACATGACGTGTGATATAAAGAGGCGGGCAAAAGGAACGAGAAAAACAATGTGACATATACTTCTCCGATAAGGACCGAACAAAAAAGTTCAATAACGTTTTTATGACACAATAATTGTAAACGTCGGTGAAAAAAGAAGTTAATAATCCTTCTCTGCAAAACACCTGCAGCAATGCAGGCACATTCATGCATTTCTCAGCCACCTTCCACCTGTCTACGCCCGCATTAAAGACATCTTACTTCTTTCCTCAAAAGTAATAAGGAAATACAACGACTGCGTGCGAGATTCAGCTTAACATAAGTACTTTCGGAATGAAACGTTTCTCTATCAGGTACTGGCATTGACTGAACCACTACTCCATAATTTAGCAAATAAAAGATTTTTGCTCTAAATATATAGACTCTTTGGCATGTGATTTTCCCCTCCTTTGCAAAACTTACAACTGAAATACTCAAGTTCGTTTTTGAATCCTCAAGACACAGGTTTAAAAAAGAAATAGTTTTTCTATAGACTCGATGGTAACTCTCGAATAATTTTCATTTGACACTGTATAACCTCAACATTAATAATGAGAGCCACTGTTCTTTTTTGGACACAATTAATATCAACACTCGGCTGAAGTAATTCAAGCAAGGTTATTGCTGCATCAATTCTACTACTGACCTGCAATAACACAGGTATCGACTATACAGTCATTGAGACTTAGGTAACAACACCCAGCAAAAGCAACTGGCTTCAACTATACATTCACTGAAATACTCAACGATGATGCAAACATATCATACAGCCTAGATAATTTAAAATATCTACATTCATGTAAGATACAATGAAGCAAACTGATTTTTCGGTAAGAATGGCTGGTTGTGTAGTATTACTGTTCTTTACACGTCCATCCACCGCTTTCCCAGTGAAAGGTTCATTTTTTTTCTTTCCAAGTTTATATTATTTGAAGCCATTTTCTCTCTCGGATTATTTTTCGTTTTGATGTTTGGATGATCCTGTTTGGGAAGATTCAGTATCTTATATGTAGATATGAAATTCACCTCTGACTCCAGTTACTTTGGCTCTGTAAGTGCTAGAAAATTTCAAAGAAGAAATCTTAATATTAAAAAAATACCCGTACAGGACAAAATAAATGTTGCACTTTAAAACGTTGTGTCTCAAAACAATCATCTGTTTTCTACTTTTCGTTAATAAATCAAAATAAAATATTATGCAGTTTTAACACTCCTGTTTATTACTTTGTGGTAAAAATAACAGACACAGACACTCACTTTTATTACTGGAGTTGGTTGTGCTAGCAGTATGCTTTGAGGCCGTCTTCTGGGTAACTTGGGCATAGCTAAGCACCAAGGATTGAACGCCTTCCTGCAAGTAATGACGCCAAAAGTCAAGCATGATATTTCAGTCTTAGGTGAACTTAATGTTCCAACACTAGGCAGTGAAGAAAAGAATGTTGCAGTAACGTGCAACATGCACGCCAGCTGTTCAAACTTGCTGCAGAGGTTACTTCACTTTGCTCAGTGGTTCACGTGCCCATACAGAACAACAGCTTTTTCTTGAAACTAATTTCTTTGCCCACAATATTTATGCAAGACTGTAGCTTCTCCTCTAAGTTTTCTAACTCAACAATTTTTTGCTTAGCCAGAAAACCACAGAATCGTCCCTTCTGTGGCATTTCAACATAGCTAGCCTAATAACGCTGATGAAGAATGTTCAGTAAATAACTGGAAAACATTCAACAATGAACAGCAAGAAGTTCATATAACGTCAGAATAAATGTCCATGGCAACTTGAAACATAGTAAGATGTGCACTTTTTGGACAATTTCAGGCTGATAACTTTAAAACTACTTGATGAAATTCCTCCTCTTATTTTCTTAAAGAAGAAAAAAGGCTGGAAATCATCTCTTAAAGGGGTTTAGAATTTTTTCGTGAATTTCATGCAGCACTGCACGCCTGGGAAGAATGGAAGTACGTATCCCGTCAAGGTAACGAAACATATCAACCAGAATGTGGTCGTTTAGCCCTCAAGTTGATCCGGTGAACTTCATTCCTTTAAGTTATGCACTGCACTCATTTCTTGCTCGATAAGAGGCACCGTGTAGTATTGCTAAAATGGGCTTTTAAAATATATCGTCTGCGTAACGATCAAACGTTTCCCGTTGGGCAAACAAGTTTGCAAGGCAAGTTTTATTTGGGGGCTAGTCGACTCTTACTGTGGGTTCACTGACTTCTGGTTAAGGGCTAACAGGCTAGGAGCTAATCGACTTGCGGGCTAAACGACTGAATACCATCAAGCAAAGGACTCTACGAGTTAGATAGCTGGTTCACCAATATTTTACAGTGCATGTAAATGAAGAAGCGATTATTTCACCCTAATTTGCCTAACACAAAAACATCAAAAACCTTGAAAAACAACAACAGATAGCAAAAACGAAAAAAACTTCCGCTGTCAACCTGAAAAGACTTTCAAGTAAATGTACTTGTCATTTCTTAATTTATGCACTTAATACATTGACAAACACGCTTTGTACCACTCATGAACTTGAGGCAATCTTTAAGTGTGGCTTGTTGGAAGTCAGCTTGATCGGATATTAAGAGGTAATGCCAATCTATGTCAATTAGGTGTGAAAGGTGAGAAAAAGGCGGCCTGTAGAGGAATTGTGTGAGGCATAAGACACATAAACAAGGGACGACAATATGGAGCGCAACCTTTCTCGAATCAGTTGTATACTACCTCTTGGAGAAGGAGACTGTGAGAGTAGTTTACTGCTCAAATAATACCGCACAACTCTTGTCTAGGCTCGAGTACAAACAATGTACTTAAAAGTCTAGAGCTGTAGACACATGCCACTCATTTTGTGTACCTTTGTTTTATAATCAGTTTATTAACTGAAGCACTTACAGTAACTGCAGCGTTCATCTTTGTCTCTGGTATTTTTGCATTTTCGACGTCAGGAACAGTCGTGGTTTCATTTGGAGTAGCTTCAGTGGTAACTCTGAAATTTAGACCAAGATAACATTGTTTTTTTTTTTTTAATACAATGTGATTGTTCACTCGTGTAAGTGGGAGTAACTAGCCCCCTCTAATCAAGAAAAACTTTAGATGTTGTAACTCTGAGCTGCTCAAATGAATCAATAGCTACCGTAGTTATATATGTACACTGTTATATCTGGACCGTCTAACGCTTGGACTTCACTATACATCGGGTTCAATAGGTGTAAGCTCCAGGGCGTGTCAAATCATCAAATTCCTGGTAATGTGACACCACTGCAAGAGTGAGGTACAATGGAACCCTGCCTTACGACCACTCCGTTAATGTGACCACTTCGTTACGTTATACATTTAGCGAACCCTAAAAGCGGAGCTCCTGATTACAATAAGTTAGGCATAAAGGAAGAAAAGGATTTGTTTTTCCTGGATCAGACACTCATTTAATTGTTTGGCATGTGCTTTCCTATTTTAAATACTTAACAAAACGGAGACTATATAATAAAGCGTACCCAATTTTTCCAAGATTGTAGAAATTACGTAAAAGCAATATTTAAGCGACTTTCGAAGAGAAGACTGTGTAGGAGTATCTCAGAAGAAAAGTCAACAACGCGCCAGGGGTTCATTTGCGCCAAAATGTTACCTTTGTATGTACCCCATCCCTCTCCTTAAGAGAGGTAACCTGGCATGAGTCTGTGACACAAACTTACCTAGGCAGTGGTCAAAAAAACACGTGACTTGATGAGCTCTAAACCTATTCCCGTGATATGGTTACGTGATACTGGTCAGCGGATACCTTGTTTTGACAACTGTCAATTGACCATAACAAGGATGTCCAATATCAAAGATCTACCTTCGGTTATGGTGCTACTCTATTATATTTTTCAAGGTACGGGCTCGGCTCTCGCACGCGCAGTTCAAGTGTCGTACGGACGTAAGTACGGACAATCACGTGACAAACAAATTTTTTTAGGTCGATGGGTTAATTTTCAAAGGTATGGGGGTTCCGCTCGCGGGCGCGCAGGAGCTCCGCTATTTAGGTTACTTGAATATTTTAAGGACCGCTGACCATGCTACTGGGACACTCGATAAGCATGGGTACGCTTTGTGATTGGTTTCTAAAAAGGTCTCTGTCCTCTGTTATTCACAACCCTCATGGTCTTCGGATTATTCTTACCACAATTTGTTGACTAACAATCTCACTGTGAACACATGAGTGAAAACAGATGGAAATATGATCCTTTTACCAAACAAAGAAGGAAAGTACATATTTTGTCCAATATAGGTTGGACTACATGTTAAAAACGTTTCACTTGGTCTAAGGCTCCCTAACAGAGCTTCTGGCCAGCAGATGTGTAAAGACATAGAGACTTACTCGTCAGACGCGGGTACCACAGACACAGCTGTTTTTTCAGTAGGCAATGAAGGTTCCTGACAAGAGATGATATCACAAAATTAACCTAAACAGATGCTGCAAGTCACCGATCCAGTGAAACAAAATAAAGCAGTTAAAGAAAACCTCTAAATGTTCTGAAGATATTATGGCCAGCTAAAACAAAACCGTTGTCTATGAAGACAAAGAAAGTGATCACTTCAAATGGTTGAGTGTAATTATTAGTGACAGCGACTTGCAAATGACGCCAAATACTTAGACTCCCCAGACCCTATTAGGCTGAGGTCACAAATGTAATAACTGGTTACAAACGCAATAATTTACAGGCAAAAAAATGTAATACGGGTCACAAACAAATGCCACAAGGGACAGATCAGATCACATTCAGCTTGGTAGTGAGGAAATTGAATGATCATGTTTATTCATTTCTTTTGTTTGTGTCCTCTAGGCCTCAACACTCGGTATCTATTACTTCAGCAGCAAGTGAATTCCACTCGGGTATAGTTCTTGCGTAAAAACAGAGTTTGCAAGTATTTGCTCGCAGGGATTAAGGTGGCTCAAAAGAGTTTCCAACACTTAGATTTTGATGGGTCGTTATAACCACTCTTTAACACTTGATGCTACAATCACGGTATTAAAAAATTGCCCAGTCATTGGTGAACAGGTTGTTATCATTTTCGTGATGCAATAGATTGCCATAGCAACAGTATGACCTCCTAAAACACCCTTAATTACAGCTTTAGGGGCGTATAATTCAAAAACGGC